AAAAAAAAAAAAGAAAGAAAGAAAGAAAAAGAAGGTCTTCACATTCCCACGTAAAGGAGCAAGGAGAGGCCCAGGGAGTTTATAAAGGAACACCTCAACGGTATACCGTGGGAACGGGCCGCGCCCCTCTCGCGGGGGGAGACAGACTGGGCGGGCGAGCTAAGAGCCCCAGAAACCCTCAACCAGGCGACACACGACCAGCTCAAGTCCCAAATTCCGCGGGGGTCGCGAGGGCAGCCCCAAACGCCAGAAGGCTCCACCGAGGGGATCGCAAACCGCTGCCCCCGCCCCCTCCAAACCTCTGCTCTCCGACGAGGTTTCTTTTCTTCTAGGTGATCGCTAGTTCGCTTGGAACAAGCGCAGATCCAAGAAATTCAGAAGGGCGAGTGAGACGCGGAAAAAAACTACCAGAGGGGAAAAAAACAAAACGGTAGCAATCTCACGCTCCGGGAGCCCAAGTGCTCGCGACTCCACAGACCGTCTGGACTACATTTCCCAGGATTTCCTGAGCCGTCGGCCTGAGCGGAAGTGCTCACGGCTCCACAGAGCGTCTGGAAGACATATCCCAGAATTCCTCAATACACCCTCCTGAGCGGAAGTGCCCGCGACGCCATAGAGCATCTGGACTACTCTTCCCAGAATGCCAAGGGGCAAAAAAAAAAAACAAAAAACAAATTCCGTGTTCTCAACCTCGGGGGAAGTATTCTGACTATGCAGAGCTTATTGTCTACGCTTCCCGCACGGATTTTCCATCCCAGACTTCTGGGTGGTAATAGGGGCTCTTGAACTGACAGTCGTCCTGAGCCCTTGAGCAAAAATATTCCATAGAAAAGACTTCCTGAAGTCTAAGTGCTCCCAATTATGACAGGAGTCTTATTGGAAAGGGGACAAGTAAGAAGACAGAGTCTGCAAGGAATTAATGGGAAATGACTGTTTAGGGGTCAGTTGACAACTGAAAGGAGGATAATGTTTGGTATAATCTGATGAAATGAGGCTAAAACTGATAGTTTAAAGAATGACCCAACGGCGCCAGAAACCGTGGGAAGAAAAAAAAAGAATGACCCAAATAGAATATCTAAACGTAGTTTTAATTTACATTTTCTGTATTGTAAATGAAATAGAACATTTTTTCATACTGTCAAGGGCCATTATATTTTTTTAAGTTGTTCATATCCCTTGCCCACTTTTCTACTGGTTTTTTGGTCTTTTCTTCTCGATATTTAAATATTATTTATATATTTAAAATTAATCTTTCTTGCAAATACGTCCTCCCTTTTATTTTCTTTGATTTTGTTTATGGCCTTTTTTGGGTCATATCTTAATGTACTCTTTTTAATTTTAGAGTTATGGCTACATGTGAGAATTTGTACATAAATTGCATTCAAGTGAGGTTTGGGCTTCTAGCAAGCCCCCTCTCCCCCAGTAGTGGACATGATACCCAGCGGGTGGTTGTGTGCCCCTTATTCCCCCTCCCTCCCTCCTTTAGCAGTGTCCAGCATTTGTTTTTCCCACTTTGTGCTGTCTTTTTATTGTTTTTTTAAATATTTTTATTGCGGTGTAATTAATAAAACCATTTTAGTGCATATATGTATATATATGCCACATACATACGTGTGTGTGTGTCTGTGTGTGTGTTTATCCCACTTTTTTTTTTTTTACAAATAGGGTCTCAATCTGTTGCCAAGGCTGGAATGCAGTGACCCAGTCAAAGTTTAGTACATTCACAAACTCCTGGGCTCAAGTATTCCTCCTGCCTCAGTCTCCTGAGTAGCTGGGACTACAGGCAAGAGCCACCATGCCTAACTAATCTTTCAGATTTTTTGTATTGATGAGGTCTCATTATGTTGACTAGGTTGGTCTCAAAACTCCCAGCCTCAAGTGATCCTCCTGCCTCAGCCTCCCAAAGCTGGCATTACAGGCATGAGCCACTGCACTGGCCTAAAGTTAACCATTTTTAAGTGTGTGACTCAATGGCAGTGACAGTTTATTCACAACGTTGTGAAAACACCACCTCTTAAGGTATAAAACATTTGCATCACCCAAAGAAAACCCCACACCCATTAAACAGTCACTCTTATTGCCCCTAAGCCCCAAATAACTACCACCAATGTCCTATTGAATTGTCTACTTCAGGTATTTCAGATAAATGGAATGATATAATACCTAATCTTTTGTGTCTGACCCCATTCACTTAGCATTATACTCTTAAAGTTCATCTACATTATAGCATGTATCAGCACTTCCTTTTTTAAAGAAAAATAACATTGTATGTTTATACCACATATTGTTTATTCATTCACTGATGGACATAGGGGTTGTTTCCACCTTTGGACTATTTTGTCTAGTGCTGCTGTAAACATGTATGTACAAATATTTGTTTCATTATCTGCTTTCACTTCTTTTATGTATATACCCAGGTATGTAATTAGGAAGTCATATGATCATTCTGTTAAACTTTCTGAACAACCACCAAAGTTTTCTACAGCAACTGTCCATTTTGTTTCTACTTTCATGTATTCTCATTTCCTCACATTCTAATATTTATTTTCCATTTTCAATTGGTAGCCATCATAGTGGTTGTGAAGTAGTATCTGTTATTTTTATTTGCATTTTCCTAGTGGCAAATGGTGTTGAGCATTTAAAAAAATATGCTTGCTGGTCACTTGTATAACTAAAATGTTTACTCATGTCCTTTGCCCATTTTTAAATTGTACAATTTGTCTTTTTGTTGTTGAACTTGAGTTCTTTATATAGTCTGGATACTAGACCCCATGCCATATGGTCTTCACACTTACTTGACAATGTTCTTTCATATATAGTGTTTTTTGTTGTTGTTGTTGTTTGGGTTTTTTTTTTACTGAGGTCAAACACGTATTTTTTTTTTCCCTTTGTTGCTTGTGCTTTTAATGTCTTACCTAAAAATCCATGCCAAAAGAAATCAAGACTTACCTCTATGATTTCTTTTAAGAGTTCTATAGTTTTCACTCTATTTAGGTAGTTGATCTATTGAATTTTTTTTTTTTTTTTTGAGTTGGAGTCTCACTCTGTCATCCAGACTGGAGTGCAGTGGCTGCTCCCAGCCACCGCAGCCTTGACCTGCTGGGCTCTGGTGATCCTTCCGCCTCAGCCTTCCAAGTAGCCGGAATTACAGGCATGTGCTACCACGGCCGGCTGATTTTTTGATTTATTGTAGAGCTGAGGTCTCACTGTCCAGGCGGGTCTCGAACCCGCGGGCTCAGGCAATCCACTCACCTCAGCCTCCCAAAGGCGTGGGATTACAGGCTGAGTCACCAAGTCCAGCTATATTTCTATATACTATAAAAGAACAATTGAAAATTGAAAAATAGTACCTTAATTTGGCACCAAAAACATGGAATACTTTTGGATAAATAAAATGTGCAGGATCTATATGCTAAAAACTACAAATTACTGATGAAAGAAATCAAAGAGATCCTAAACAAATAGGCAGATATGTTGTGCCTATGGTTTAAAACGTTCAATATTGCTAAGATGCCAACTGTTCCCAATCTCATCTATGTACTCAATGCAATCCCAATAAAAGCTCCAGCAATTTATTTTCAGAAGTCACAAAGCTGATTCTAAAAATTATGGCAAGGCAAACAAATTAGATAGCTGAAATAATTTTGAAAAAGAATGAAGTTGGGCAGGGCTCAGTGGCTCAGACTGTAATCCCAGCACTTTGGGAGGCTGAGGTGAGTGGACTGCCTGAGCCTGTGGGTTTGAGACCCACCCAGGCAACTTGGCGAGAACTCGTCTCTACAATAAAATAAAAAGTAACTGGGCATAGTGGCACACACCTGTAGTTCCAGCAACTTGGAAGGCTGAGGCAGAAGGATCGCCAGAGCCCAGCAGGTTGAGGCTGTGGTGGCTGGGAGCGGCCACTGCACTCCAGTCTGGGTGACAGAGGGAGATTCCAACTTAAAAAAACAAAAAACAAACAAACAAAAAAACGAAACAGTGAAGCTGGGAGACACACTTTCTGATTTCAAGACATTATATAAAGCTACAAGAATCAAGATGGTACAATATTTGGCAAAATGATAGACACATAGATCAATGAAATCAAATAGAGGCCAGAAAAAGACCCACACACGTATGGTTACTGGATTGTTCGCAAAACTGCAATGGTATTTTAATTTTGGAAGGATAGTTAATGGGATTTTCATATGCAAAAAATGAATCTTGATCTCACACTTTTTTTTAATAAAAGATTAATTCATGGACCTAAATGTAAAACCTGAAGCCCCAATTTTTTATTTAAAAGGAGAAAAATCTTTGCAAACTTGGATTATGCAGTGTTTATATTTTTGAGTTGGAGTCTCACTCTATCGCTCAGGCTGGAGTGCAGTGGCACGCTCAAGGCCACTGCAGCCTAGACCTGCTGGGCTCAGGCGATTCTTCCAAGTAGCTGGAACTACAGGTGTGTACCACCACGCCCGGCTAATATTTTGGTTTACTGTAGAGACAGGGTCTATGTTGTCCAGGCTGGTCTTGAACCCCTGAGCTCAGGTATTCCTCTTGCCTTGGTCTCCCAAAATGCTGGGATTACCGGCTTGAGCGACCGCACCTGGCCTAGGCAGTGTTTTTATATCTGAAACCAAAAATGCAATCCATAAAAGACAAAAGCTGAACTTCATAAAAAAAAAAAAAAATTTCACTCTGTGAAACATACTGTTAATAGAATAAAAACACAAGCCACATAATGGCATAAAATATTCACAAAATGCGTAACTGACAAAGATGTGTATACAGAACATATAAAGAACTCAAAAAAAAAAAAGAACAAGAAAACATACTCCAGTCTTTAAAAGCTGGGCAAAATATTTGAACATAGTTCACACACACAAAAATAGGTATAATGGATAGCAAACAAGCATATGTAAAGATGCTCAACATAGTAATTAGGAATGTGAAGTAAAACCAAAGAGAGATACCACTAAAAGCCTTTGAAATGTTAATAAAAAGAAAACACTGATATACCGATTGCTAGTGAGGACATGGAACCAGGGTGTGGGAATGAAAAATGGTAGTTATTTTAGAAGTTTGTCAGTTTTCCATATTCTTACCATATAACTCAGCAATTCCACCTCTAGATTCTCACCAAGACAAGAGAAAATTTATACTGATACACAAAACTGTATGCAAGTAATTACAGTTTTTAAATTTTTTTTTTTTGAGACAGGGTCTCGCTCTGCCACCCAGGCTGGAGTAAAGCAGCATGACCACAGCTCACTGCAGCCTTGACCTCCTGGGCTCAAGTGATCCTTCTGCGTCAGCCTCTGAGTAGCTGGGATTACAGTACAGGCATGTGCCATGACTCACAGCTAACTTTTTGTAGAAATGAGGTCTCACTATATTGCCCAGGCTAGTCTCAAACTCCTGAGTTCAAGCAATCCTCCTTCCTCAGCCTTCCAGAATGCTGTATAGCTGCTTTTTTCAGTCACTAAAAACCAGACATTCAAATATCTCAAATGATAAATGAATAAACAAGCTGTGGTATATCCATAAAACAGAATACTACTCAAAAATAAAAGAACAAAAAATGACTACTGTACCAATACACACAAGATGGATGAATCTCATAACCATTAAAGTAAGTGAAAGACACCAGACTCAAAAGGCTACTTATTGTAGGACTCCATTTATATGACATTCTGGAAAAATCAAGACAGAAAATGGGTCAGTGGTTAACAAGGGGCTGACTACACAGAACAAGGGAATTTCAGGGCAGGGGGTGCCAGAACTGTTAATGTCTTGATTGTGGTGGTGGTGGTGGGTCCATGACAGTATCACTGAAAGTTGTAATGATATACCAGAGTCAGATTTACTGTATACAAATTACTCCTTAATTTAAAAAGAAACATTAACTTGTAGAATTTTCATAAATGCCTTAAGAAATTTTAAAATCATAAATAGATGTTAAATTTTGTCAAATGTTTTCTCTGAATCCACTGAGATGATCATATATGTGATCTTAAGAAAACAAACACAAAAGATTACATACTAAATCCATATGATGCTCAGGAACAGACCTAATTAATTTATGATATAGAAATCATGATACTTGGCATTGGAAGTGGGATTGACAGGAAATGGGCACAAGAAAATTTTTGTTTTAACAGAAATATTGTATACATCGATCTTGGTGATGATTGCATAAGTGTATATACCTGTCAAAACTCATGAAGCCATAAACTTGAGATTTATGCATGTTACTGCATGCAAATTACCTCTCAATGAAGTACTGTTAGCATACAAAAATACTAATCACTAGTCACATAACTGTTTTCTGGACACTGTAATCGGCTGCAACCTTCAGGCCTGCAGGAATGGGAAAATGAGCCTATATGGCTAACTTAAACGTTTTCCAAGCCTTGCAGAATTCCTCTTCTGAGTATAATTTTATAGAAACTTTTAGAGATAAACAATAAAAATTTCAAATGACTATAATTTCAAACATGACTGAAAATGTATGTGTCAGGCACTAAAAAGGCAGAGAAGATTTGGCAAAGTTCCTACCCTCTTGGAGCACATATTCTAGTGGAACTGAGTTTGGCATTTCCACCTGAGCATTTTTGGTTAACTCCAGATCAGTCTCATCCTACCTGAGCCTCTTGTCTGCATGTATCTGCTGAAGGTCAAAATTCTGAATGAAGTCCCTATGTCTCCACTTTCAAGAGGCTTTTCCTGTGTGGTCTCTGGACCACTGTAACATGTGAAGCTCTAGATGAAATTCTCTTTTATGAACACATCTCATCGCCTATGACAGATATGGTCATTGAAATATTTCAGCAGCCATTTGTGATATCAAAACATCATTTTACAAAGTTTCTCTCTTATCTCAATCCTTTGGTGAAGGAAAGTCTTTGTCACCCTCATCACCAGCATGAACTCGCTGATGAATTATAAGACTTGAGCTCCAACTAAAGCCCTTCCCACACTCCTCACACTTGTATGGTTTTTCTCCAGTGTGAACTCTCTGATGGGCTTGAAGGTATGAGCTCCAACTGAAAACCTTCCCACATTCCTCACATTTGTATGGTCTCTCTCCCGTATGGACCCTCTGGTGGGCTTGAAGGTAGGATCTCTGTCTGAAGCGCTTACCACATACATCACATCGGTATGGTTTTTCTCCTGTATGTACACCACGATGAGCCAGAAAATTTGAGGCTCGACAGAAGCCCTTCCCACACTCCTCACACTGGTATGGTTTCTCTCCAGTGTGACACCTCTGATGAGCTTGAAGCTGTGAACCTACACTGAAACCTTTCCCGCACTCTGCACACTGATAGGGTTTCTCTCCAGTGTGAACTCTCTGATGCACTTGAAGACTTGAGAACTGACTGAAGGCCTTACCACACTTTTCACATTTATAGGGTTTCTCTCCTGTGTGAATTCTGCAGTGTACATTAAGATCTGAACTCCGACTGAAGCCTTTCCCACATGTACCACATTTGTATGGTTTCTCTCCAGTGTGGCCTCTCTGATGGGCCAGAAGATTTGAGGCCTGACTAAAGCCCTTACCACACTCCTCACACTTATAGGGTTTTTCTCCTGTATGGACTCTAAAATGAATGTTAAAATCTGAGCTACGACTGAAGCCTTTGCCACATGCATCACACTGATATGGTTTCTCTCCAGTATGGCCTCTCTGATGGTCCAGGAGATTTGAGGCCCGGCAGAAGCCCTTTCCACACTCCTCACATTTGTAGGGTTTCTCTCCAGTGTGGCTTATCTGATGGGCTTGAAGGTGCGAACCCACACTGAAGCCTTTCCCACACTCCTCACATTTATAGGGTTTCTCTCCTGTGTGGATTCTACAATGAATGTTAAGGTGTGAGCTATAACTAAAACCCTTGCCACATGCATCACATTTGTATGGTTTCTCTCCAGTGTGGATTCTCTGATGAGCCTGTAGTCGTGAATGCCAACTGAAGCTCTTCCCACACTCTTCACATTTATAAGGTTTCTTTCCAGTGTGAACACTCCGATGGACTTGCAGATATGAATGCTGACTGAAACGCACCCCACACTCTTCACATTTATAGGGTTTCTCTCCTGCAAGAAGTACTGGAGGAGCTTGACAATGTGAGTTTTTCCTGACAATCCTCCCACACTCCTCATATTTGTACAGATTCTCTCCAGTGGGAGCTCTCTGATGATGGTAAAGATGTGACCTCTGACTGAAACTCTGACAAGATGCATCATATTTGTATGATTTCTCTCTACTGTGGATTCTCTGATGGGCTTGAAGACTTGAAAACCGACGGAAGGCCTTATCACATTTTTCACATTTGTAGGGCTTCTCTCCTGCATAAGCCCTCTGGTTAATTTGAAGATGACAGCCCCAATTACAACTTTTCTCACACTCTTCCCCTATGTAGTGTTTTTCAACAGTGTGGACTCGGTGGTGTTCTTGAAGATGTGAACTCTGACTACTGAATGCATTGTCTTTATAGGGTACATCATCTTGTTTTTCCAACCAAGAGTCAGTTCCTTGAATATTTACCATGGAATCTTGACAACTGATCAATTCCCTTGCAATCTGTTGCCAGATCTGCGAGCAGAAAAGCTCTTCATGTGGCAGGTACCTTAATCCTACTTCCTGAAGAGTCTCCATCTCATTTAGATTCTTGCCTCCTAAAAGGATAAAGAAAATTTGGAGATGGGGCATGTGAGTGCTTTGTTCAGAGATGTGAAGGTTATAAATTTAGGCCCACAGCCTAAGCTTTATAACATCAGGAGAAGGTTCCATTTTTCTTTATCATCGTGTAATATATTATCTAATTTACAAGCCCCAAGAAGCCAAAGGGAATCCATCAGGCTCCCATTCACTACACATTAATGAGAATCATTTAAAATATTAAACTTCTAATTTAAACTACACATTAACAATTTGGTGGCTGCAGAGCAAGAAAAATGTTTCTCAGGAAATCTTTACCAAGAAATTGTACCTTACTAAAAGTCTCATTTTTTTTTTTTGTTCAGTAGCAGGTGTCTTATTAGACACCTTATTAGGCCACCTGAACAAAGTGTCCATGCTCAAAATGTCTAGTAAAACTAGATTATCAAAAGACATACTGGACTATTTCACTGGAAGCTTACTCTAATATTAGAAAATTTAAGCCACTGTACTGGTTGGAAAGATACACGTGTGGAAGAAAATACCTTACCATCACCTAAGTGCCTGAAGTTTAAGTATGAATGGATAGTGATCCTTTACTTTAAGTTGGGAAATGTTCCCCATGAGAATAACTGGAAGAAGTTTACAGTAATAATGTATATTATTCTAAAACCTGACAGCAATTAAATTTTCTATAAACACCTGAGGAGAAAAGTGAAAAATGAGAAGCTAAGCTTTTTTTTTTTTTTGAGTTGGATTCTCACTCTGTCGCCCAGGCTGGAGTGCAGTGGCACACTCACGGCCACCCTAGTGTCAACCAGCTGGGCTCCGGTGATCCTTCTGCCTCAGCCTTCCAAGTAGCCAGAACTACAGACACACACTACCATGCCCAGCTAATTTTGATTTATTGTAGAGACGAGGTTTCACCAGGTTGCCCAGACTGGTCTTAAACCTGTGAGCTCAGGTAATCCACTTGCCTCCGCCTCCGAAAGTGCTGGGATTACAGGCTGAGCCACTGAGCCCGGCCAGAAGCTAATCTTTTACAATATAGCAAGAACTGGTGAGGAACAAGCAATTCTGCTGGGAAGGTGAAAGCTTTCACCAGCTGCAGGGTTAAAATAAGTGAATGTTGCTGATGTCAAAACCATGCTTATCAGAAAATCATGGTAAGAATTACTTGGGAGAAGAAAAATTGTACAGCAAAGTGGCCATGGGGCCTATGGATTGATTGCTTCCGAAATGTTCTCTTTAGAATTTTTTTTTTCCAGATAGAAGTCAATATTCAGAGTCTTAGGAATAATGTTGTCTCTGAAAGCACATTGTAAAAAAAACTGATGGATATAGATATATATTCCTATATGGACCATACCACTGTTTTTCAAACTGAAGGTTGGTACTCAGTGAACCTGAAATAAATTTCGTAGTTTGTGACAAGCATTAACAAAATAGAAAAATATTAGAGGTGTTCTGTAAGCAGTATATTTCTGCATAAATTCTTTTTTTTTTTTTTAACTAGAGTCTCACTCTGTTGCCCAGGCTGGAGTACAGTGGCACACCCATGGCCACCCCAGTGCCGACCACTGAGTTCCAGCGAACCTTCCATCTCAGCCTTCTAAGTAGCTGAACTACAGGCACGTGCTACCATGCCCAGCTAATTTTTTATTTATTATAGAGACAAGGACTTGCCAAGTTGGCCAAGCTGGTCTTAAACCCGCAGGCTCAGGCAATCCACTCACCTCAGCCTCCCAAAGTGCTGGGTTTACAGCTGATCCACCGAGCCCGGCAATAAATTCTTATTTAAGGCTATACACACACACAAACACACACACATCTATCCACACGTCTGTATTGTTTATGACATAAAATGTACTTCTTATTGTGACTCATCCTCAAAAAAAGTTTGAAAGCCACTAGCCTAAATGCTTAAGAAATGTACTAGCTCCTTAATCAAACAATTAAACTGTCCAAATGGAAAGTTATGTTGTAATGATGAAAACATGGAAACTATAATAGATAAATGTTTCACTTAAATTCATGCCTACATAGTTTGCCATTTCTGTATATATTTTGCAAATTAACATTTTTAAAGGTAATTTTTTTTTTGTCTTCCTGAGGATGTATCAACTTGAGGAGGGCAATTTTCTGATTCGCCCAGGTTATACTGTTTTTACCTGAAAATAATATGTTAGGCCTTTATTAAAATGAAGAAAATCAGATCTAAAATCTACCCTCTTTAACATGTGTTTATTGAATGGCTATCTTCTATATTTATTTGTTTACTGGCTAATTCTGTAAAAAGTAAAGACATGGCTATATATACCATACCTTTGAATAAGGATGAGTAAAATGATAAATAACTTTCTTTTCTACAACTCATTGGAAGAGGTAGATGGCTACCACCAAAAAAATCTTTAAAAGGAAAGACTTAAGGGCAACCCTCTCCGGTCCTCTCCACTGTGGGAGCTTTTCTGTCCTCTCAATAAATCCTGCTTTCTTGAAAAAAAAGGAAAGACTTAAAAGCAAGTTTATTTTCTGAACATTTTTCTTTCTTTTATTATGTCAAGTATAGACATTTTCTTTCATAGGAGACCTGCCCCCCAAAATGGCTATGAGAATCTTTATTCTAAAAAAGTAGTTCTTAACCAAGGCTAGGAAGGCTACAAGAAAGCCAAAAGGGGGAAATGATATTCCATTTGATTACAACCGGAAAGCTAAGCTTTCATTCAATGTTGGTGCTATAGTCACAACGTGTGTGCCTCCTCTCCATTCATATACTGAAATCCTAACTCCCAAGATATTGGGAAGGTGTTTAGGTCAAGAGGGTGGGGCACTCATCAGTAGGATTAGTGTCCTTATAAAAGAGGCCTGAAAGAGACCCCTTGCCTCCTTCCATGTGAGGATACAGCAAGAAGGCTGCTGTCTGGGAACCACAAAGCAGGCACTCATCAGACACTGAATCTGTTGGTGCTTTAAACTTGGGCTTCCCAGCCTCCAGAACTCCCAGAAATACATTTGTGTAGTTTATAAGTTTACGGTATTTTGTTACAGCAGTCTGAATGAATTCAGACAGTGGGTTAATAGATCCATTTTGGATATACATATATCCACAAGCACCTAATAAAGTGGAATTATATCAGGGGAAAAAACTGTTCTAGATTATGCCTTCATCACACATTTTTGTTTAACATCCTTTAAATATCTCTATGACTAATGGAAAATAGTCCATGCAATCTTTTTTTGAATCAAAGTCTCACTGTCGCCCAGGCTGGAGTGCAGTGGCATGCTCATGGCCACTGCAGCCTCTATCTGCTGGGCTCAGATGACCCTTCTGCTTCAGTCTTCCAAGTAGCTGGAAATACAGGCATGCACCACCACGCCCAGCTAATTTTTTTATTTACTGTAGAAACGAGGACTCAACATGCTGCCCAGGCTGATCTCAAAACGTGGGCTCAGGCAATCCTCTCGCCTTCAACACCCAAAATGCTGGGATTACAGGCGTGAATCCCTGCACCTGGCCATGTAATCATTATTAACTTAATCCATTAACAAATATTTATAGCATATCTGCCCTTTGCCAGGTTTGTCTATACACTAGGATATAGCAATAAACAAAACAGACACAATTTCTCCTGTGATGAGATTATATTCCAGTGCAGACGCCGTGAGATAAATCAGTAACAAAAGTATATGGTCATATGGTAAGCGGTAATCAGTGCTTAGATGTAAAACAAAACACGGTAAGGTAAAAGGGAGTAAGGGAAGAAGATACAATTAACAGAGTGGTTACAGGAGGCCTTTCTTATTATGGTACATCTGAGAAGAGACCTAAATGAAGATGAAGTAGAGGAGGAGTCAAGAAGATGACAGAGTAAACACCCACTCCTGACAGAAAGAAGCTCTGATGATAAGGCAGATGATAAAGCAGGAGTATTCCTTGACCAGTGTGGATGGACTTGACCAACACGGGGAAAAGTCACAGACTGTGTTTACAAAGGATGAAAGAAGAGAAAGGAACAGAGAAGTGGGGTATTATACAGAATTTTACTCTGAATCAAATAAGAAACTAGAGGTTTTGAGCAGAGGAATGACATGCTCTAACATTCAAAAGAATCAATTCGGGCCATTGCCTTGCTAAGCTACGGTGTGGCCATGTGCTCTCTGAGCTATGGCCAGGCCATGTTTCCTAGCTTTGGTCCCCTCTCCTATCTTGGAGAGGTGAATCTCCTTTTTCTCTAATTTACTTTCTAAATAAATTTTATTTTCTAATCTAAAAAAAAACTCAAAATAATCAATTCAAGTGGAAAAATCAACTATAAAAAAGCAAGACTGAACAGTGAGAGCTGTACAGAGATTGCCATAGTGATCCATGGATTAGTCATTGCCTAGAAGCAGTGATGGGAAGGACAGACTGGGGGTTGTGCAACTCTCACCTGAGGTGTTACCGCTCTGGATTACTGTCTTCACCATGCAAAGCTTTTCTTCTCTTTCTAACTCGGGTATACCATCTGGTGTGAAGAACTGATGCCCTGTGAAAAGGAAAGGACATAATATTTATAATGAACACATTAGAGGCCTAAATTACTAAAAACTCTTGTTCTTGTCTGGGCATGGTGGCTTACGCTTGTAATCCCAGCACTTTGGGAGGCAGAGACGAGAGGATTGCCTGAGCCCATGGGTTCGAGACCAGTCTGGGCAATATGGCAAGACCTAGTCTCTACGATAAATAAAAAAATTAGCTGGGTGTGGCAGCACATGCCTATAGTTCCAGCTACTTGGAAGGCTGAGGTGGCAGTATCATCTGAGCCCAGCAGGTCGAGGTTGTGAGTATGCCATGGCACTCCAGCCTGGGCTACAGAGTGAGACTCCAACTCAAAAAAACAAAACACAAAAAAACATTGTTCTCACTTCATCTTCAGGATAACAAAAATAGTGTTTTCCAAACTTTTAATTATGACCCATTGGAGGAAATATGCTTTATGCAAAGACCCAAGATACACAGACATAAGTATAAATTACTGCAAAAAAAATGGTTTCATCATACCCTCTCCACTGTCTCTTACACTACTCTTAGCAACAGGCTATAGTTTTTGCTGCAAGGTGCAATTATTACTAAGGGCTTGGTATTTTCTATCCTATTTTGTCTCATTAAAAAATGATGGAGCCGGGCTCAGTGGCTCAGCCTGTAATCCTGCGCCTTTGGGAGGCTGAGGTGAGTGGATTGCCTGAGCCCACGGGTTCGAGACCCGCCTGGGCAACTTGGCAAGACCTCATCTCTACAATAAATCAAAAAATCAGCCGGGCGTGGTAGTGTATGCTGTAGTTCCAGCTACCCGGAAGGCTGAGGCCCAGCAGGTCGAGGCTGCGGTGGCCGGGAGCGGCCACTGCACTCCAGTCTGGGTGACAGAGTGAGACTTCAACTCAAAAAAAAAAAAAAACCAACAAAACAAAAAATGATGGGACAATTCACTAAGTATGTATCATGTCCACAATTTGAGAAAGGACAAAAATATATAGCAGTCATGCTGTCAATTTATAGTTCATCAACAAAATACACACTTTTGCTAGGGGAGAAATACTAAAACACTTCCATATCTATGTCTTCTGATGAGTAGAAAACTGAAAACAGTTCAAGAGCTCCAAAGCCCTGCACTCCCAAGGGCACAGAGTCACCAGTGGGAGCTTAAGTGCAGTCAGAGAGAGCCTGTCCTCACCCACTGATACCACGTTCCTGAAATTCTCCAGCATCACATCTCGGTACAGCTTCCTCTGGGCAGAGTCCAACAGCCCCAGCTCTTCCTCAGTGAAGACCACAGCCACATCCTTGAACGTCACTGTGTCCTACAACATCAAGCACACTCCACCTAAGTCTCACAACAAAGGTCAGCTAGAAGGGTGGAACTGAGAAAAGTGAAAAAGATGTGTAGAAATGATTCCAGATTTTAAGAGACCACAATCAACTTTACTATAATAGTTACACCAATAATGCACCTTATGCTTTAGAATTTTTTTCCTTTTCATACTAAATGCTGAAAAGAATAATTTTTTACACAGGCATTATGTAACCTGTGTCTAACTATTTTCTTAGGATACATTCCAAAAAAGTGAAAATTGCAATGTCAAAGAATATGCAACTTCAAAATTACAATGTACAATGGCAGGTTTTCTTTTCAATTTTTCCCTATCTTATCCTTATTAGATCACATTGTACCATGTCATATTTGAATATTGTTATTATTATTATCATCATTATTATTTGAGTCAGGGTCTCACTCTGTCAACCAGGCTGGAGTGCAGTAGACAATCACGGCTCATGGCAGCCTTGACCTCCTCAGCCTAGGTGGTCCTCCTGCCTCAGCCTCCTCACTACAGGGTTGTGCCATCCTGCCTGGTTATTTCTGTTATTTTTCATAGAGATGAGGTCTCACTATGTTGTCTAGGCTGGTCTCAGGTTCCTGGGGTCAAGCAATCCTCCTGCTTCAGTCTCTCAAAGTGCTGGGATTACAGACATTAGCACTGTGCCAGGCTGATATTTAAATATCATACATACATAATACCCGAAGTACCACACATCAAAAGTACTTTTTCAATTTAGTGCTCCTAAAACATTAGGAATAAATAATAGCAAAACTTCTTCAAATTCCTTTGTGCAGAAAATGGCTATATGTAGGAATACTGTTACTACAGCAAAAATTCTAAACTAATTCTCACACACACACACACACACACACACACACACACCCCCACCCACCACTGAGTACATCAATTCAAGAGAATATAGGGTAGCCACTTGAAATGTAGGGTACATAATAATAATTAGAAAAGGTATAATTTGAAATTTTTATTTATACAGTGATTACAACTATATAGTTATGAATGCATACACAAAATAATATGAGAAAATAATAATTGTCTTATAAGAGAAATAGTAGAAAAATGGGAGTTTTTTGTTTTTTGAGTTGGAGTCTCACTCTGTCACCCAGACTGGAGTGCAGTGGCCGCTTCCCACCACCGCAGCCTCGATCTGCTGGGCTCCGGCGATCCTTCCGCCTCAGCCTTCCCAGTAGCCGGAATTACAGGCATGCGCTACCACGCCCGGCTGATTTTTTTGATTTATTGTAGAGATGAGGTCTCGCTGCCCAGGCGGATCTCAAACCCGCAGGCTCAGGCAATCCACTCACCTCAGCCTCCCAAAGGCGCGGGATTACAGGCTGAGCCACCGAGCCTGGCAAAATGGGAGTTTTTATTCAGCTACTGACGTTTCTACTCTATGCTTATTTATCAACTGATAAAGTCACAGAACAGCAAAAATTAAACTACAATAAAACAAAAAGTAGCAAGGATCTGACACACAAGAGGTTTTCAAATGTCTCCTGTTCTCCTTAATCTTTTCCAGGGAAGAAAACAAGATACGTGTCATCTTTGAGAAATGAGATAACAGTTAAAACCTAGAAAGGGAAGCCCAACTCACCGTCCTCTTCTTCATTTTGTCCTCTTCTTTCTGGGGAATGGCCACGTCTTAGAAAGACGTAAGGGGGAAAGGAGAAAAAAAGCCATGAGAGTCTGGTCAAGGATATCACTAACTCATATGACTGCCTTACGAGAAATAGCAATGGTGCCCCTTCCTCAAGGTGGCTTGATGAGCACAGAGTAGGTTGGATTCCAGATACCATTAATCCCTATGGTTGCAAAACCCTGGCAGTGAACAACCTGCCCAACCACACGCAGTGTGCCCCCAGCACAAGTTCTCCATGAGGTTTTCAGGGTACGACTCTGATTCTAATAAGAGTAGAAAACGGGAGTAAAGTACTTAGGCCAAGAGTAATCTCTAGGGCCAAATGCTTATATTCATGGCCCTGTTATTTGTTATTAGCTGTGAAATCTTGGACACATTAGTAATACCTCTGGGCCTCAACTCTTTCGCCCATAAAATAGAGATTAACAATGAGAGCATTAATCTCATAGGATTGTTGTAAGGATTAAATGAGCGGGAAGAAAGTTCAAAGAACATTTCAGAGTACATTATTTCTAGGCTGCAGAAAAGCAAGTAATATTCAGTAACATAAAACCTGTCCTCATAAATGGTTTCTATCAATGAAGGCTTTAGACGTTGTTGTTCTGTCGTATGAAAATCACCTTTAACCTCTGAAGTATCTGTTAATCTCACTTGGATTTTCATACTTAACTTGCTGCCTTCACAATAATATTTAAGATTATAGTAGTCCCCTCTTATCTGCAGTTTCATTTTCTGTAATTTCAGTTACCTATGGTCAACTGTGGTTCGAAACTAAGTGAGTACAGTACAATAAGATATTTTGAGACAGAGACCACATTCACATAACTTTTTACAGTATGTTGTTATAATTGCTTTATTATTAGTTGTTGTTACTCTCTTACTGTGCCTAATATATAAATTAAACTTTATCATAAATACGAATGTATAGGAAAAAACATAGTTCATATGCTATATACTGGGGGTCTTGGAACACACACCCCACAGATAAAGGAGGACTACCAAACATAGAAGACTATTTTTGGTGGTAACATATGTAGCAAAATTTACCATTTTAACCATTTTTGAGTGCACAGTTCAGTAAGTACATTTACCTCGTCGTGAAACCATAATCACTAGAACTTTTCTAGAACTTTTTCATCATCCCAATTGAAACTCTATACCCATTAAACAATGATTTCCATTCACCCTTCCTGAGCCCCTGGTAACCACTTTGCCTCTATGAATTAGACTATAAAGGTGACTGGTTTTTAAAAGGTATAAGGCCTTGTACAATTTACTTTGTTAACAGTAGGGTATTAAAAAGTCTGTCTTCTGGAGATAAAGAAAATGTAATAAAAACCTGTGACTCTGCAAAATTTAAGCAACCATAAATGTGATAATCAATATGTCATTGAAATTAACAAGCTACAGTAATCAGACTAATGATAAAAACAAAAATGGTAATGCTTAACATTAAGTAAATACTAAGTACACGTTAGAGACCTTGTGAAGCACCTAGCATGCATTGTTTCATTAAGGTACTTCATGCACAAAGTGAAGAAGCTACTGTAGTACCAGTCGTATGACCTTGGTCCAAGCACCTAAACCTCTGTGTCTATCTCAGCTATCAGGAGACAGAAACAGGAAGTTAATCATAGGATTATTGTGAGGAATAAATGAGCAAATTTATGCAATGCCCTTGGGATAGTACCTGGCATTTTAGGAAGTTCTCAACAAAAGATGATGTCAGCAATTGTTGTACCCATTTAACATGTAAGGAAGCTGAGGCTTGGTTAAGTTCAAGAGGCAGTAGTATCTGAATCCAGCTCTCATACCAGAGCCAGTATTCTAAATCTTGTCTCTCTGTTGCTTCTGAAGACAAAATAAGCAGACAGGAGTCTAAGGGCACATGGAAAGAGAAATGAGAGCTTCAGAGCTAGGGATAAAAGACAGACACAGAAATGGAGAATGGATTCTGAAGCCAAAGGAGCTTTTTGAGGAAGAAGAGAACAGGTTGTGAATGGTGTAGATTCTAGAAACAGCCCACCAATATTAGAATACTGGCAATTCCAATTTGCAAGTACTTTGTGCCTTACTGTCTAATTTATAAATTGGGGCTAACAATAATAATACCAACCTCATAGGAAGGTCAAAGTGACTAAATATATGTAAATAAATATACATAAAACTTGAAACAGTACCTAGCAACTTAAGCAATATAAGTTACCCATAAACCCATATGGTTGCTTTACATAAAATAGTCAATGAGCCCCTTCTTTGGTGCTATGGACTAAACATCTCTGTCCCCTCAAAGTTTATATATTGAAGTTCTAATGTAATGTTATCAGAAGGTGGGGCTTTTGCGAGGTAATAAGGTCATGAGGGTGAAGACCCTATGACGGGACTAGTATCTTTATAAGAAGCAGAAGTGAGCAAGGTCACTCTCTCTCTTTCCCCCATATGAGGATACAAGGAGACGAATTATGCAAACAGTTAAGAGTGGCCTCACCAGACACCAGATATGCCGACAACTTAATTTTGGATTTCCTGGTCTCTAGAAATAAATGTTTGCTGTTTAAGCCACTCAATCTATGGTATTTTTGTTACAGCAGCATAAACTGGCCAAGACACTTGGAGTAGCTGCAGCTGCTTACAGGTGATAAACAGAGTGTAGGCTGTGTTCCAGATAACACTCGACCCTTCAGCAGAGTCCCTGCACAATGAGCAACCAAGTTCTCCTTGTAACTCTCAGGGTATGATTTTTAATTCTATGGAAGGTGAAAATTGAGAGTAAAATAGCCAGATTAAGAGATTAGTATTAGTTAACTATTGTTTAATTTATCTATTAATACATCATTATCAAATTATTATTATTAAAATTAGTTCTCCTTCAGATAGAAGAATCCTTACTATGGAAAAGGGCAATGTAAAACTTTCCAATCTTGACAGAAGTTCCCTTTTAGAATTTATAATTCACTTTGTTCTAACTCTGTATTTGCCCAACAACCTTTGCTCAGCAAGTGTTTTGCAAGGCAATGTTTCTATTGCCTTTGGGGGGAAAAAGCTAATTAGTAAATAAACCATCTGCTTTGTGATTACTGCTTATTCAGCTTTATATCCTAAGCACCTAAAACAATGCCTGTAACAACCGCTCAGCAGACATGACCAAAGGAATGAACGAACCTACCATCAGATGGGTAGAGGTACATGGAAAGAATAGAATAGTTGGCCTAAGGTCTCTTTGAGTTATAAAATTCTGAGGTTGACACCAATTGGGAAGATTTGGAGAGCTGGGTTTTTATTTCCACACTTTTCCTCTAGGTCTTCCATAATATTTGCTATCCTTGGGCAAAATCAAGATCATCTTTGGAAGGAAACGAGTCTCTGGATTTTGTTAATACCATCCTGGGAACATATTTTTTGCTCTTCAAAGTCAGTGCCTACATGGATCACTGTTACAGAATCCACTGACCATGCCCATCAAAATACTGGATGGCAACTATTTAACTGTCTGCATGATTAGCTCTAGATACATTAATTTATTATCTCTTCATTAAATAACTTTATTAATTCAATGAACACGTATGGGAACTTTATTAAAAGAGATACAGTTCTCCAGCCTCAAAATGCTCAGTCTATTGATAAGAAAACAGGCATTTATGCTACACATGGCTAAGTGCCACAGTAGTACACAGGGTCCTCTGGCAGTACAAGGAATGGACTCATAAGCCCACAATGCAATGCAAGAGTCTCCACATAAGCATGGCTTAATCTGAGCCTTGGAGGATGACCACATTCTAATAGCCAAAGACAATCAATTTACTAAAAAATGGCCAGAGAACGAGTATTATAACATGAGGACAAATAAGAGGAAGAAAAAGACGGGCAGGAAAGCAGAATGCAAACCATAATGATGTACAAGTCTCAATTTCCTCTACTGAAAGCACTGAAGAACTTGTGGAGAATAAAAAGTTTCCTTTTGTGTTATAAACAGATTACTCTCCCAGCAGATAGGAGGTTTGAGGGGGAAGAGGCTGGGACCAGAGAGACTGTTAGGAGGACCACATCAGAACCACTTCATTCTTTATTCAAATGTCACCGCACCCCAGAGAGTCTCTTCCTGGCCACCTTGTAGATAATTTCAGTCCTAAACTTGCACACAAAAGCTTCCTATCCCCCATCCCTGCTTATTTCTTTTCACTCAGTACTTATCACTCTCTAACATCCTATTAGGTATTTTACTTATTTATATTCATTACATTTGTCCCACAGGGAGCTTTGTTTCCTGCTCCATTGCCAACACCTAAACAAAGATTTGCAGAATGATTACTTGAATGACTTTGTGAATAGCTGATAGATACATCATGTAGATCAAGCCCTTATTATTATTATTATTATTATTATTATTGAGTCAATTACTTGAATGAGTCAATTACTTGAATTATTGAGTCAATTTCATGAATAGCTGATAGATATATCATATAGATCAAGCCCTTATTATTATTATTATTATTGAGTCGAGTCTCACTCTGCCACTCACAGCCACTGCAGCCTTGACCTGCTGGGCTCAGGTGATCCTTTTGCTTCAGCCTTTCAAGTACTAGAACTACAGGTGTGCGCCACCACAACCAGCTAATTTTTAAAATTTATTGTAGAGATGAGGTCTTACCATGTTGCTCAGGCTGATCTCAGATCCCTGGACTCAGGAAATTCTCTCGCCTCTGCTTTCCAAAGTGGTGGGTTTACAGGCACGAGCCACTGTATCTAGCAGGCCCTCATTATTTATCACCTGAATCATTCATTGAACGTAACTACTGAGATCCTACTCTGTGCCAGTCAAAGTTCCTACACATGAAAGATACAGCAATGAACAAAAGCAAAGACCTTGATCTCACAAAGCTGATATTATAATAGGTTACAAGGGCATAGCAACCAATATATAGTGGGAGATGTTTTAAAGAATAAGGCCGGGTAGGCTGGGTGGGGTGGCTCACACCTGTAATCCTAGCACTTTGGGAGG